TCATATGGCATGTACTAAACTGAGGAAAGCTAAATTCCAAATGTTCTATGCCAGACATTCTTGCATTAATACATTTACAATTAGATTCCTCGTGAACAGTCTTGTGATTGTGGTAATGGAATGCAGAGAGAATGGGGAAATTGTTATATATGAAAGTAATTCATACAACGTACTGTGAATTATTTAAATTGTGTATTTGCAGTGTTGCAATGTAAGTTGTACTTTGAAAATGATATTTGCAGTAAGTTGTTTGCTTGATTAGATGTTTCAAATAAGCCATTTTAGACAGGAATTAGGTACATTTTCCCAATGATCTGTTTCAAGCCCTGATTCACTCATTATTTAGAGCTTCTGGGTGGAGTAATAGTCAGTTTCATTTATTTTCTGCCAAGCAATAGGTCTGAGGACAGAGCTAAAAACTGTGCAGATCTTCACCTCATTTTTCTTTAGCTACATCTGTCAGTGGCTGTCACCATCAACACTGCTTTAAAGCAAGACCTGATCTCACCATCTGCATCCGACAGGAGCTTACATCTGTGTACGTTTTCTGGCCTGTTAGATTTATTTAGGTTGCTGCTGTTTTCGTGTTCAAGGACAAATAATGTACTGTTCAGTGGTGATTGTGGCTTATGGTTATGTTATATGAATAACATTAAATGGAAGTCAAATCCATCTCCTTCACTTTTGCTAAGTATCTGTTGTTTCAGTTTATACTTAGTCCTTTTTACCTGTGATCTATTTAGGCAGTGAGCATATTTTTTGTTTTCTTACAGGTATAAGCATTTCCTTCAAAACCTGACTGCCAACACAAATCCTGGCAACCCAGAGTTTCAGCAGCTTTCAAGTAAGTGTCTTTTCTTATCATGTTGCTGTGTCAATAATCATTTTGCTGCATTTCACAGAGAATATCTGCACATTAATTGTGGAATGATGTCAAGTTGCCGCATGCACCTTTGCAAATCTGAGGTTGATGTACAGTAACTGTCGCCTCCTCCGGTCTTTTGGGATTGTTAGACTTTGTGATGTGAGTGTGATGCACTCTGCATCATTAAGCACAAAGGTTTCTGGCTCACTCAGTGGAACACTTCCTATCTGTGAACATAACCTCACGGGTTGATGTGGACCTTCCTACTTTGCTTTTCCATTGTATTTTGTGCTGTGTTGGTCTCTGTTTACAGAGGAAAGAAGCTGTGCTCCTCTCACTTACACTCACAGCTGAGCAGAGGGAGAGCAATGGATGTGAAGGCTCACCCCATAGTGCAACAGTCAGCCAGTAATGGAGACTGTATGAGCAGTTTATCAAACAGCTGTTCAATAAGCAGAACACAAACTTGCAGAAACGTGATGACTTCATTGCTTTGCTCTCGATTCAGTCACTGAAGCCCCTGTTTTAACCCCAAAACCAACAAGTAAATGTCTGACATGGCTATCATTTTTCTTGAATAACTTTCAAACTAATAAAGATTTCAGCATCATTCCAAATGCCAGCAGTAGGTTTTCATGGTCAAGCAATCATATTATGAGGGTCAAACCATCATGGGAATATTGGTTTTATGGCATTATGGGGAAATGGACTTGCCTCTTGGCAGAGGTTTGCACTCTCTAACTGCTGTCTAGTTGTTACTGTCACAGCTGCACTTGCTAAGTAGAGAAATGAAAGTGAGGCAAAGCTCACTATGCATCTAAGCTCTAGTTTGATGTGGATTTGACATACTGTAATTAACTAGGAGTGGATCAGAGGATGTTAAGTCTGATATATATTAATAAGTCGAATCTTCAACATCAGCATGAAGCCAGATAATGACTTATTTCAGTCATCAAATAAACAGTGAATCTGACTCAAGTGTGAATGTATACAAGGAATTATTTATGTGTAAGAATTAAAATCTCATTGCTGATGTGCTGCCTTTGCTTACAAATTAAAACAACCCCTAACTCTAAGATGGACCTACATATCTAAATGTGCTCCCCATTGCCTCTTCCTCTTCTCATTACCAGTCCTTTTTTAGAATTCTGCTGTTTTTTAATGGGGATTGGGTGTCTGTGTATGTGTAGAAAACCTTTCTACCGTCAGCCTGCTTGTATTGTAAAGGAAATTGTTTTAAAAATAAATTCCAGAAAAATCACATTGTGTCTGATTAAGCAAACTAGCATAGTCACAAGAGACTTTGTTGTTTGTTGTTGCTTCTCTTGGGCTGCTGTTTGTTGTTTGGGTTTTCCTTTGTGTTTTACTTTCCCCCTCAAGCTTGCCTTTTTCCTAGCAGTGCATTCATGCTGGATGTAATGGTTGTAATTGCATCACTTTAGGAATTTTCATCACACATCTTTAAAATGACACTCACAATGCCAGGTTCTACTTTACAACCAAGTCTAAACAGACAAGAATCAATTCTTTCAGATATTTCACAGTAAAACTCAGAATAAGTCCCCTTCCCTTGGTCAAACACTGTCTAAATACTGAATTGCCTAATTGGAATCAAGAGCTGCAAGAAATTGAAGTTGTCTTTAGAATGTATAATGGGCTAGATGTATTATTAATGCCTCAACCAGAGCTCAGCCGAAAATGACTGTAATTAGGAGTTGTTGTTTTTCTAAAGCAGGCAAAGGAAAATATTCCAAATGTGTACAACAAAGGGTAAAAGTCTACACAGATGCCTTGTTTGGTTTAAATTGTAACTGTTGTAAAGTTAGGTGAGCCAATTAGGCCTTGATTATTTTAGTATACCATTTCTTTTTTCTTCCTATTTGAATGCACATAATTTTTCTTGTTGCTTATGAATGCACATTAATAGCCACTGTGTCAAATTCCTTATGTGTTTGCTGAAAAACTTCATCAAATCAACTGGACTAGGTTTTTCATCAGAACTGATGAAGCCTCTTGGATGAGAGGTGAAACGTCTTCGACCTAAAAACCTAGTCCAGTTGTTTTTTCAGCTTACTATGACCTGAATGACTGAGAATCTGCATGGACATCTTTGTGTTTAACACACTTGGCCAATTCTGAAACAACAGTAAACCTCTACAGCAGTGGTTCCTAAATGGTGTGCCGTGAGGCAAGTCCAGTTGTGCTGCGGGATTTTGTGACAACCATACTTTAATGCCCGTGATGGCGGCGCATATGCATGCCCGGGCCCCTCGGCTCCAAAAAAAATTTAGGCGTACGTGTCACAATGTTACAATGACAATAAAATAAAGCTTCTTCTTCTTAATATTGCAGTATACAATTATACAAAAAGTTATGAACAAATTTTTTATTAAAAGTTGTACATACTCATTTCCCAGTTCAAAGGCAAATCCTATAGCCTAAATGAACTTATTAAAACAAAAACAAAAAGGAACTGTCGGTCAACAGTATCATGAGAACTTATGGCTTTAGCTTGACTGCTGATGTCAGTAGCCTGAGTGCTAGTACTAATGTGGTGCCCAGCAAGCTAAAGAGGCACTTGGAAACCAAATCTCTTTTGTGTTGAGAGAGACATGGCCTACTTCAAAAGAGTGCAGGATTTGCACCAGAGGCAGCAGGACTGTTGTGGGATTGTGTGAAATTGTCTGATAAGGTGATGGAAGAAAGCTATTTGGTTTTATTGCAAACTAGACAAAACCTCACATGGCAGCGGAGACACTCATCCTTCCCACTTGCAAAAAAATTGCAGGTGTCTACTGAAGGTCCATGTTGCGAATGCGATCTCTTCAATACCACCAAGTATGTAAAAAAAATAAAAATAAGGTTGTGAGCACTGACAGCATGTGTCTCACTAGCTTGTAAGTAGAAAACAATATAATAGCAAATGTTTTAATGCTGATTCAGTTTTAAGCTACATTTAAAACTTTTTTTTTTCAACTTGGTGTCAACCAGTTTTTATTCTTAATGCATCTCGTTTGTTTACAATTATAGATTAAGTTATCTTTTTCCAACTAAGTGCATCTCTTTTGATAGGTATGTACTGTTTATATGCAATTAGCTTTTATTCCCATGGTCCTCATCCCTGCCAGCAAAAATGTCTGTGGACGCGCAGCTCCACTCCAGCAGTTTGTTGACGGCCTCCTGAGTCTACTGGGACACTGCTTCAGCTGGCAGCAGCAACTTCTCCGCTTGTCCCCAGCTGATGAAGGCAACCCCTTGGCTGTCTCTCAGCTGGTCCCTGACTGGTGGCAATGACTGGCAGCTAGAATGGGTGATGCACTGTTTGGCCTGTCACCATCACCTTCAGGGCCCGCTCCTCTAGTATGTTCGCAGTGGCCCCGATCACTGTGGCAACATGGAGATGTGTGGTCTTCCAGCCCTGCAGGTGCAGCTAAATCATTACCAACAGTGTCCCGGGCCAGACCAGGGAAATGGTGGACCTCTTGTCCACCAGGGCTCTGCACCATGTGCCGTCTAGCTCACAGTCCAAGTACAACCTGTATGTGCGTCCCAACCTGCCCGGCCTCATCTGCTTTGTTGGGAAGGTAGAAGAATTTGTTGGGGCAGACAGTTCTCTCTCTGTGCCGCCCCGCTTTGTCTTAAGTGTGGCGCTTCAGTCTTTAGCGAGGCTATGGGCAGTGGAGTGCCACATGCCCTGGTTCTCCGCAGCAGTAGCATCCCTCTCAGTGACAGACAGCCAGCTTCCTTCCTTGCCACTCCAGTGGCGGTGGTGGTGAAACTGCAGCAAACTGGATGGATGCCTTTATGGTGCTGGGGCAGGCCGGCAGCCATTTCTCTTTTCAGTGTGAGCTCCAGCACCTCATCCAGCGTTGAAGGGTGAGCCAGCTGGACATGCAGACGGCAGTAGCTGTGAGAAAGGGCCTGCACAAACTGGTCTTGTGCTAACTCATCCTGGATGGTGAGGGACATTGTTATGAGGGCCTGCCGGTACAGTACCTGGATGTCAGCAGCCAAGATGCGCAGGGACTCTCCGGGCAGCTGGGTACAGTGCTTGAGCTCACTGCACGGAGCGTCGGACAGGTTGAGTTTGCCAAAGCATCTCTGGAGGGCCCCCACCAAAGCATTGTAATTGCTCCTCTCGGCTGGGCTCAGCAGCAGCAGGCATGAAGCAGCATCCTCTGTTAGTGACAGGGCCAGGTGCAACGCCTTTGCTTCCTCCGTCCATCCCGCTGCAGCAGCCAACAGTTCGAACTGAGCCAGGTAGGCTTCCCTGGTCCCCTGTTCGGAGTACCTGGGTGTCATCACCCTGGGAGGAGGCAATAGGATGCCGCTTTCTGCTGGGGATGGCCCCGCTGACCTGAGGACCGGCCAGCCTGCTCCTACCTCCTGGTCTTCTGGCTGGTTAGCTTGCAATGTCCTATGGTTTCCTCCTGGGTGGGGGTGATCCCGATCTTCAGTTAATCCCTGTGGCCCAGGAAGGTGTGTTAGCTCTGTCTGCAGTCTCCTCCATAGACCCCATCATCAGTCCCATAACTCGGCCATTGACACCAGGCTACAGTGTCACTTCTTCCTCCAAGTAGAAAATCAGCTCCTCTATCTGTTGTCGCCACAACATTGCCTACAAAATCCCACTTCTTACACCAATGTGGCAAGCTAGTAGGTCCTGAGGATTTCGCTAAGGAATGACACTGGAGTTATACTGACCTTTTTATGCAGGCTTCCCTGCCTCATACACTGCACAACCCTGGATAGCCACTACTTTGATTCAAGACACAACACCCGCCAACTGGCACTAAACTCACCAGTCCAAAGATTCCTCCGTCCGTAACACCTGTTACACTGACTGCAACTGCACCAGTCCATGCCTTCTGGGCACCTAACTATCTATATCTGGTATGTTCTTGTGTACGCGCGTGTGCGTGTGTTTGTGTGTGTGTGTAAAGTCCATGGTGCTCCCCCTGGCTCCCTCAGCATGCTACAGTATTTTTCCTAAGGGATGTAGTACTGTATAACCAGCAGACAGCCATTGATGTGTGAAGTCATTTAGATAACACTACACTGGGTAAGAGTAAAGTAATTTAATGTTTTTTTAGCAGGCCTATCTCGTTTCACTTTTGCACTTTGTAGATGGTCCATCTTATAATTGAAGCTGCTATTTTCACCCTCCCTACACTGCACTGGATGGTGACATCATCTGGCTGTGTTGATCAATCATGTATAGGGGATGATCGGGATGTGGACGCCCATGGAAAGAATGGCATGGGTATTCACTGCTATTCACTGTTGAATTTGGGCCACAATTAACTCACCATAATAACCTTCCATGCATTTTCATTCGTACTGGATGTTAAACTGTGTTTTTAATCTATCAATGTAAGCACACTGGTGGTAGAATTGGTGCTAAGGTAGAGCATGTTACGCTGGCAACATGGCTAACCAAAACACAATGGAAACTCATGGGCTGGAAATGTGAATGAAGCAACTCGTGTCGACTCATCACAACATCGCCGTAATGTATCATACATGCCTGAAAGCCTGTAAAAGTCCCTCACATTCTCCCCTGGTGAGCGATGTGATTTCCGAACACCCGATCCCTCCTCAAACATGTTGTTAATTCCAGCAAGTTCCCACATAACTAATAACCGCCACGCTGAGAGTAAGGTGCAGATTTTACACCTGCTTTGTCCTGACATTAAATTTCAGCTGCAGGTCTCTGTCACACCTGTGGTAAATCAGGTGCTGAGGGTATACAGTCTTATGCAAAAGTTTAGGCACCCCTTGATAAATAACAGATCTTGGTGATTTTTTATTTGAACAGATGTTAACACAGTTTCTCTTGGAAATGGAAAAAATGCACAATATTTTCTGCAAACAGTGATGCATAGTTACTTCTTATGCCATAAATTGAACAAAAATAAAAAATAAAAACATTATTATGGCATGGTGCAAAAGTTTGGGCACCCTACACAATCAGTACTTAGTAACACCTCCTCTGGCAGATATCACAGCTTGCAAACGCTTTTCATAGCCAGCTAAAAGTCTTTCAATTCTTGTACTTGGGATCTTCTCCCATTCTTCCTTGCAAAAGGCTTCTAGTTCTGTAATATTCTTTGGTCGTCTTGCATGCACAGCTCTTTTAAGATCTACCCACAAATTTTCAATGATGTTTAAATCAGGGGACTGTGATGGCCATTCCAAAACCTTCAGCCTGCGTCTCTTGAGGTATTCCATAGTGGATTTCGAGGTATGTTTAGGATCATTGTCCTGTTGTAGAAGCCATCCTCTTTTCAGCTTCAGCTTTTTTACAGATGGTGTGATGTTTGCTTCCAGAATTTGCTGGTATTTAGTGGAATCCATTCTTCCCTCCACCCGTGCAATGTTTCCTGTGCCACTGGCTGCAACACAACCCCAGAGCATGATAGATCCACCCCCATGCTTAATAGTTGGCAAGGTGTTCTTTTCATGAAATGCTGCTCCTTTTTTTCTCCAAACATGCCTTTGCTGATTGTGTCCAAAGAGTTCTATTTTAACTTCATCAGTCCACAGCACTTGTTTCCAAAACGCATCGGGCTTCTGTAGATGTCCTGTTGCATACTTCAGACGTTGGATTTTATGATGGGGACGCAGATAAGGTTTTCTTCTGCTGACTCTTCCATGAAGGCCTTGTCTGTGCAAGCATCGCTGCACAGTGGAACGGTGCACCACCACTCCTGAGTCTGCTAAATCTTCCTGCAGGTTTTTTGCAGTCAAATGGGGGTTTTGATTTGTCTTTCTGACCAGCATACGAGCAGTTCTGTCCGAGAGTTTTCTTGGTCTTCCAGATCTCATCTTGACCTCCACAGTTCCCCTGATCTGCCATCTCTTAATTACATTTCTTACTGTGGAAACTGCAAGCTGACAACGCTTTGCTATCTTCTTGTAGCCTTCTCCTGCATTGTGGGCGTCAATAACTTTCATTTTCAGGGTCTTACACAGCTGCTTAGAGGAACCCATGGTTGCTGGGTGTCCACAAGTGTGTGCACAAGGTTTGAAGAGTCAAAGTATTTGTACAGCTTTGAAATTGGCATTTACCAATGACAGCTGTTGCTGTGCATCAGATCTAACGAGCTGATTAAGGTCTGATACCTTGTGAGAGACTTTGAGACTCTGGAACTCTTAGGGTGCCCAAACTTTTGCACCATGCCATAATAATGTTTTTATTTTTTATTTTTGTTCAATTTATGGCATAAGAAGTAACTATGCATCACTGTTTGCAGAAAATATTGTGCATTTTTTCCATTTCCAAGAGAAACTGTGTTAACATCTGTTCAAATAAAAAATCACCAAAATCTGTTATTTATCAAGGGGTGCCTAAACTTTTGCATAAGACTGTATATGTATAAATTTACATTCTCCCCTTCCTGATTTTTGCATTCCTAAACAGGAATGGGGGGCGGCAGTGGTGCGGTGGGTAGAGCAGTCATCTCCCAACTGGAGGGTTGAGGGTTCAAATCTAGGTGCCTGCAGTTTACATGTCGAAGTGTCCTTGGTCAAGACACTGAACCCCCCAAGTTGCCCGTGATGGCGGTGCGTATGCAAGCAGAACCTCGGGGCCCTTGGCTTCTGGGCAAAATTTTATTGTACGTGTCACAATGTTACAGTAAAAGAAAGCTTCTTCTACTTCTTCTTAAAATATATATTTCATAAGACCCAACACACAAATTCCTGTGGTGCATTTCCCCTACCTGGAAGGTTGGTGTTTCGATTCCTGTTTTCCCCAGTTCACGTCACCATGTCACCGGGCAAGACACTTAACTTCAAGTTGAGGTTAAGTGGTCAGGTCAGCACCTTGCAGAGACATCACCCCGAATTGCTCCTGGTGGCTTGACTAGCGCCGGTGCATGGCAGCTTGTCGTCATCAGTGTGTGAATGTTGTGTGTGAATGGGTGAATGGTGTATCATCTCTGTAAAGCGCTTTGGCCAGTGCAACACACTGTGAGAAAGCGCTATATAAAATACAGTCCATTTACCATTTACCATCACTGCCACTGGGGTGTGTGTGTGTGAGAGAGAGAGTTGGCGCTGCAGATGGCTGCCTCGGTTCTATACCGGAGACACATTTCTTGTGTATAACATACTTGGCCAATAAAGGTGATTATCATTATCATTCTGTTCTCTATTACAAAACCCTACTGTAAATATGAACACTCAGTTTCACTGTTTAGTGCCAGAAAATGAGCCACAAAACCTGCCATTTGGCAGACTCCAAGTCAACTTTCAATGTTTTAGATTTTTTTTTTAGAACTTCACTCAGTCATTTTATTACATTCTTCATGTATAAACTGAAGTGGTCAAATTGTTGGTAAGTGAACTGTCATGATGACGACAGTGCTACAGCATATACACAGCATTTTCTTGGTTTCACTACTTTGTTCTCACTGACGCTTCTCTCTCTTCATTCACTGTCTAGCTTAATCAGCCACTCTCTGTTAGTGGTGTACATTTTGGGAAAATATGCATTTTCAGTACATGTTTGGGCATGAAGATACATAAGAACATAATATCAGTAGCTTGCACAAAGTTTATTTTGAACTGGTACAGAGAAGATATGGTTTAGCAATGTGATAATAATATAGTAATATGTCAGGAAATTGGCCCGACATGGAAAATCAGGGAACTGTTCATCCTCCATGCAGAAGAAGAAATTACTAAGAAAAGGTAGTGCTTTGTGTCTGTCTTGCTTGATGTTGAATGCCCTAATTTTAATATAAATGTTTGTGTGTTTGCTGTAGGAGCAGTGACTGCAGTGTGCGAGGTGTCCCAGCGTATCCAGAACAATACCCGATGCCATGAGAACTACTTGGAACTTTGCCGGGTGCAAAAACTGCTGAAAGGGCGAAAGACAAATGTATTGGCTGCAGGTCAGTCTCTGATCACGTATTTCCTTCATTGAGAGAAGTATACATAAACTGAAGGGAAATTAGCTATGTACTGTACATAGACATTTGCCTGGATTGACTGGATTCAACAGAAATGGAAGAATTTTGCACATCACTCAGAGACCGCTATATTAAGAGAGCATTACTGCTAACAGCAAGAGAATGTGCTTTCCCCTTTAATCCTGCATTCCCTCTTGCTCATTTATTTCCCCTCTTACATTGTGACTCACTCTCTACTTGTGAAGCGGTGGCCCTTTCCTTCCTGCCACTCCCCCTCCTGTTGTTTCTATCCAGAGAATCTGACCTCCTCGATGATACGTTTGCACTTACCAGTCTCCCCCAGGACCAATTAGGGCCCTGCCTCAGCTCATGGGCCAGCAGATAAAAAGAAAGCCAAAGTGTGTTTATGTGCATGTGTTTGCTGGATATGGGTGCACATGTGGGTGAAGCCACAATTGTTCATTTGTTTGCTTGTATATGCAGGCTTGCTTTGTTTGTGTATTCATGGATGTTAGTGTAGGCTGTAAAGGAGCGCTGAATAGCGAATCTCTCTAATGCCGACGTGGGAAGTTTAAAAAGCTTCCTCCTATCCAGATTCTCAGGCCCTTGCAACTATGCCAGCTTCCTTTATCCAATAAAGCTCTATTCCCACTAGACAGACTTCAGAGTAGCTGCAGCACCACCCCACCCCGCAGCCCCATGTAGACTCATTCTCCTTCTCCTTACTAACACCACCTCTAAAGTGAGTAAAAGAAAAGCACTGCCTTTTACAGATGAGAAGTGTTAGAGCCCTTCTAACATATTAAGTAGCTCTGTTGGAACTGAGGGGGCCAGTTAGTGAGACACTAAGCCTGAATCAATGGGACATCGATACAGCAGACAGTCAGCCTGTTTCCTTGGGAGGCTGAAGATTTGTGTCTGCCAGCTTCTTTCTTCGATTTAGACCAGAAAATGTGAAACATCTCTATCATATTTCACATTGATTATTTGTCCAATTTATCTCTTTCCACTCCTGCCTGTTGCACATGAATGTGTGTTTTTTAATGTATGCAGTTTTTGCTCTAGGTGTCTAGCACTCAATCAGGCTACCTCATTCATTTAGGCATTATTCTGAACTAAAAGGGCTGCAAGGTAGTGCAGTAGTTTGAACCTCATGTCCAAACGGGGCCTTTCTTTGTGGAGTTTGTTTGTTTTCTCTGTACCTGAGAGGATTTCCTCTGGATACTCTGGCTTCCTTCCACAGTCCAAAGGCATGCAGGTTAGAGTTAATTGGTGACTCCAACTGGTAAAATACACTGGAAGTGTTTATGGAAGTGTTTTCGGAAGCATTTTTGGAAGCGTGTCTCACACCCATCTCATGCTGCAGATAGAATTCCATGATATCAAATGGGGCAATCCACACTGAATACGTGAGACGCGTGTGTCCCATAGACCCCCCATGTTTTCTTTACACTTTATGTCTACCTTTTGCACTCTGCTACGGTTAGTGAAGCGTATTCTCCACAGTCAGCTGTTTAAATCACACAAATCCCTTTGTATTCTATTTCTACTGGTATCTGATATGACTGATCAGGCTGATTGAGTTGCACTTTCACTTTCTCCCTCTGTAACGAGCTGGACAGAATCAATAAAAACTAATTCTTCTGGGGTTGTGTTCACAAACTGTCCTAAGCCCAAAGAGTCGCTCATATTGGCGAAATTTAAAAAAAAATCTCAGAATTGTAACATTTTCAAAAAAATTACATTTAAGGTTAAGATCAGATTCTTCTAAAGATAAAAGTTATTCACAAAGTATCTTAGCCCCTAAAATAGCTCCTAAGGAGAAAACCGTTAAGAGTTATAAAGGATGACTTTTAAGAGTTTCTTAAGTAGAGGATAACATAATGGAAAGACAAATGTTGAACAACAGTGAGGTAATCAAACACTACAGATTAGATCATACAGTGATGTTTGTGGCCAATTTCATTATAGATGCACTACCATCTCCCACCCAATGCGATAATGCCATAACACCAGAAATGAAAGTGATCACTACATTAAGATATTTGGCAAATGAAATATGAAAATGGAGTCTCTTACCTGGTTTTCTAATGAGGACTTAATAATGCCTAGGACAAAGGGCGCCTTGCTGCAAACTAGTAGCACTACACCAACACCGTGAGTTATGTGTCAATTCTCAGCGGCTGGCACTGTACCCACGTGATCAAGGTGCCTAGCAACGTGGTCAACCACATCTCCTCAATAAGATAAATGTTTTTGTGTTTTCCTTGCTGAGAGTTGCTCTGAGCAGTTTCCTGAATCGCTTTTAAGCTAAGACTTGCTAAGGGTTTTTAGGCTAAGATGGAAGCTCTCTAATAGTCAGTCTCAGAATGCTTGTGAATATAGGCCCTGCTAACTTAAAAACAACAACACCACAGCACAGTGTACATCTCTGCTAATGTTATTTATGAAATACTTCAGCATAGGCTGTAACCCTGTCGATGTCATCCCTTGTCTCACAGACATTTGTAGTATTTTCTAGATGTAAATAAATAAATTCATCTCATGCCAGAATGTTTGGTCAGTCAGTTGTCACTGTCACACCAAATAAGCCTTTGAAGTTTGCAGCCTAACAAACCCATCTCAGGTAGCTTATAATAAATCACACTGCCCAATGTATATTATGTCCACTATGATCCTTTATCATGTCACCAACAACATTTAATTCGATGACGCATCCACTTTCAAATGCTTAGCAACCTACCTGAAATACAAGCAGGATTTAGTAAAACTTAAGAAAAACAGTGTTCATCTTCGATGTCACGATAAATAAAACTATGCTGAGGCATATTTGTATAAAATTCTGTAATATTACTTTACCACTTTTTGGCTTCGCACATTTTCTTTCCCAGTTCAGTAACGGCTTTTTTTTTTAAAAAAAAAAAAAAAAAAAAAAATGCAGATGTACCGCTGTCCATGAGAAGGGGTCAAAGCTCATCTGGTATTTATGATGCTGGTTTAAAAGTGAGTTACACTCAGCAACAGTAGGATGTTGCCAAACTGCCAAGTTACATATTATTGCTTTAATGGCATTTGTTTTATTTTGCTTTATATTTTGCCTTGTTTTTTCCCCTGTGAGCACACCAAAGCAAATTCTTATTAGCTGTAGTGAAATGAAAAATAAAATTAACTCTTAGGACAGAACAGCAATCACTAGGTTTGGTGAAGAGCAAGCACTGCACATCAGCTGAGTAATACTATCCCTATGGTGAAACATGGTGGTGGCACCATCATATCAGTTTCACAACATCTCTACAAAGTTTATTAAAGCTAACATTTGCCACCACAAGCTCCTGGTCATATCAGATGAAGTAAAAACCAGGGGGTGCAAAGTGGTTCCTTGCAGCCCACACAAGGGCTGAACTGTTAGATAATGACGGTTCACTTTTGTTTGTTCATCTGTTCTCTTTCACAGGGAGGTGGTACATCCGTGAGGGCTGGTTGAAGAAGGTTCCTGCTAAAGGGTCAGAAGCTAAGCCCAAGATGTTCTTCCTGTTTTCTGACATGCTGCTGGAGGCCGAACACTGTAACCCACTGCATCCCACCAATGGAGACAAGTTCACTGGCCAGCATGCATACCCACTGCAGGACTGCACTGTGGAAAAGGTGTTTGGTCACACCAGGAGCCAGGGAGGCCTGCTTAGTGTGAGTATTGTTTGTCTGACAAGTAACTCCAAGATGTGTTTCCAGATTCCAGACAGCTCCGCTCTTCAGTGCTAGTTCTGCTAACATCATTAACTACAGTTAGCTGAATTTCTACCTTAAATGTCACCATAATAAGCACTTCTAAACCAAACACTAAACAACGACAGATGTTCGATCAGTAGCCTGCTACTGTCACAAATCTGCTACTGTCACTGCACTCTTGTTGTCACACTAGTAACATGTTTACATGATTAGTGCTGTTAAAATGATGCTAGATAAACAAGCAACATTACTGCCATCCAATCCCCTACTCTCAGGAAATTTGGCTAAAAAGGTTTCACACAAATTCCCTGGTACATTCTGACTATTCATCAAAATTACTAGCCCAAACACTTAACCTGTTTCTGTTGTTCAGCCTACAATACAACCTACTCTAGCCACGTTATCTGTGTAGCATTACCTTGCAAATAATGTGGCTAAGTTAAACAGGTTCACAACTCCTGTTGCCGGTCAAGAAACTATGACAACGCATAAACAAAAAAACTTTGACAAATAAGCCACGATACCTCAAGTCCTTCTTGACATGTTTGAGCCAGAATATGAAAGTAGACAGCACAACAAACCACAACAGCATTAATTTATTCTAATTTCTCATCCATAGATAGATAAACGGTGGTATATGTACCAATGAAAAGAGATTTGTAACACTCTAAACAATTCTGGTAATTGAGAAATTTAATATTTTAACTGGCATGTTGCATACATTGTAACTTCTCCAGCCTTTCAACATATCTCTACAGAAACAACAACATTAACAGGCATGCAACATGTGTTTTTTTTGTTTGTTTGTTTGTTTTTTTTACTTACCATTATGTCCCACCGAGCAGTGGAAACTTCAAAGTTTGTAAATCCAACTGGTGATCTCTGCGTCTGCCCCCACAAATCCTTCGCATTACAGGCAACCACATTCCCAAAGTACTGAAATTAATTCCAACAGATAGTGTTGCACCAACAGTAACATCATGGATCATTAAAATCCTCTCGCCAACACATCACGTGTGTCATACACACTGGCCTCAAGCTGTCAAAACAAACAGGTACTGTGCTCCAGTGTTGATGAGCTGATCATTCACCGCCCCAGGGTGCTTCACTGGCCGGCTGCTTGTAGGTTTCCAGCTGCTCCATTCATGCCACGTTAGACCTGGTTAGATAAAACGATCGGTTCCTTCCTGTACAGGAACATTCCCAGACGTGCAGTAACCTCAGGCCCTGTATTTTTATCCACATCCTTTGGTCATAATGCAGGCAGCAGGAGGTAAAATGCACATTATTTGATGTGGCACCTCATCAGTTTTATTCTTTGGTCAAAATAAAAACTCGCTTCAATTCTGATTCCTGTAACACACTCCAAAAGAAGTTGGGACAGTTGCATTTCAGTGCTAGTAATGAGCCAACAAAATGATGATTCCATTTGAAACAGTAGATGTCAACAGGTGACTCCAATCATGATTTGGTACAAAAGTGGCATCCAGGAAAGGCTGAGCCCTTTAGGAGCAAAGATGGGCAGAGGATTGCCAGTTTGCCAACATATGCGTGAGAAAATTATTGAAATGTTTAAAAAAAGATAGGAAGGAAGATAGGATATGGAGATTTGGATATGTCAAAATGATTCAGATTCAATAAACTGCTTTAGAACCCCCTACCTACTGGTGAGGCTCTAATTCAAATACAAATTTGCCACAGTCAGATCACCATACCAGATTCATGAAATCCAATTTAGAAGTCTGTTATTGACATTCACTAAGCATTTAGTTTTATGGTACAGTGGAGGACTGTGTGTGGAACGGAGCTCAAGTGACATCTACACAGGATTTGTAATTTCTATTCTACTGTAGAAAAATTGGGGAAAGTCGAATGCTGGAAAAAAAGAATGCTGTTTATTATACAACAGGTGGGCAGACATTTGTTCATTGGTTTGAATATAAACAATGAACAAGCAGAGGTGTTATTTAATTTCTACTTTTGATGTATGTTGCATTAATTTGTCTTACTCATCATTTGTATTGTTTTGTATGCCAAACAGAGGTTTTGTGCTTTCCAGCCTTGTCAGAGGAGATCTGTGCTCTGTGATCTCTTCTCCCTAATCACTTCAGAACCCAGAAGATGAACTTTTAATGTGTGTCTCCACAATGTGATCTGTCTCCAAGTTCTCCGTACAGCTGCTGGCTGACAAATTGTGTCTAAATGATGCACTGTAGTTGCTGTCACGAAACATTCAGAGGAATGAGTTATGTACCACTGAGCAAGTAACCAAAGCATTTAGGCAGCAAGCATTTAGTGCCAGTTTTGCTTGGTATCTATATACATTTCAGCTGATGCTTGCTCAAAGAGCTCTTTATGTTGTGCAGCATTTGTGTAGATGTTTGATTACTTTACTATATGCTCACACTGCTCTCCGTCCAAAATGTTGCATCTGATGCTTTTTGACGTTAGAGCTTGATTCATACAGAACAAGATTTTGATACCTTGTTGTCAGGGGCGACTGTGGTTTAGTGGGTAGAGCGGTCATCTCCCAACCAGAGGGTTGGAGGTTCGGATCACGGTGCCTGCAGTCCACATGTCGAAGTGGCAAGACACCGAATCCCCCAAGTTGCCCCCGATGGTTAGAGCCATCGGTGTGAGTTGGCGCCGTAGGTGGCCGCCTCGGTTCTGTATTGGAAACAAATTCCTTGTGTGTAACATACTTGGCCAAATAATGGTGATTATTATTATTATTATTATTGTTAGCAGTTTACCAGCCAAGTCAGACATGATCTGCTATCATTCAGTAGTGTCTAGAGAAAAAATAAGATTTTGTCAGTAGTAGGTGGGAGAAATGCATTATGTAGTCTATATATTTTGTGAGGCTGTGCATTACAAAATGTTTACAAAAGGATAAATTCAGGTAATACCAGATCCATGGCAGGAATATGTATAAGACTACAGAGTCTTTCATGTGTGTTGCTGTATGATCCTCCTAACAGGCCCAGTGAGGTACTGTCATGACCAAGTATGTGTGACTTAATTTCTTGAAGGCAGCGTGAATTAAAAGCATTCTTCAAGTGACTGATGAAAAGGCTGCTGATAGGGAGATTAGTCAGAGCTGTTTTATTTGGAGTGTGTATGTGTTGAGAAGTGAGGAGTATAGTGGTGGCTGCGTACTGCAACAGAATCTTTCAGTCGGTGGATCAGATTAGGCTGTAGATCTATCTCGTCCGGCCCTCTACTAAATATATCTTCCTCAAGCCTGTCACTGCTCACCAGCAGCCTGCTGCACATTATCTAATGGTAGAAATGGCATTTCATTAGCCTCTTATCCCACTGAGGCCTAAATGCATACTCAATACCATTACACGTAATTTCTCATAAGGACACATTATTGATTCCAGACCCCTACCTGAGCTCAAGGAAAAGGGATGTCAGCACTCCAGGGCCCTCCTCATCCCGGGCCATGAAGAATTAAAGCCAAATTAAATTTGACAGCCGTAAATGCCATGGCAATCTATATGCAAAATTTGGTAAAAATTGCTTTTATTAAAATTCCAGATCTTTTTTTTTTTCCTGGACACCCATGTTTGTAGAACTGGTTTATATTTGTGGCTTGACCTGGTTTTCTCTTTATCTTGTGTCTTCTTCCCTCCCTCCGACTGCCTCCTCCTTCCTTAATCTTGTCTGTCCGCACTCCTTCTTCCTCTTAATATCCCCCCACCCCCCCACTTGACTATTTTCCCATATCCCTGACAGACTTTCTTTGATGTATAAATAATCCAACTAAATTATGTGCAACAATGAGAACGTAATTTCTCCTTAAGAGGGTCAGATTTCCTGACAAATCCCTAATTACCACATTGCAATAGAAGTGGAATCCATAAATCAGCTGTTCTTCCCCAAGTGGCAAGTGTCTAATAGCATGCACTGCTCACCTGGGTCCCATTCACTAAATTCTGTAATTAGATAATACTTTTAATATTGGTAAATTTGAAATCTTACATTGTTTAATGTATAATGAGAGACACTCCACTGTTTAAAAACATCATTGCGTTTGATGAGCTATATGCTCCTATGTTAATCATCTCTGTAAATTTCTGCCCAGATACATAAGTAAACTAGACAGCACTCAGAGATAGAGGTGTAAGAAAATATGGATACGCTTGAGTGTTGTCATACAGTATTATGTTATGTGATACTCTGTTGATTCTCAAAAACACAGTATTGATTTCTAATTAATAGTTCATATGCAAAGTAGTGCTATGCTGCTGAATATTAGAGAGACTGTGACAAATGCAAATGTAGATCTCTGTTCTGAAAAGTAAACCTTTTTACAGGAGATTTTATGCATATAGTGGTGTGTTGCTTATTTTATGGCAATTTTTCTAAAAGTAGATTTAAAACAAACAATATATTGCCTTGTTTACAGTATCACATTATATCAAAATATATTGAATCATAACCCATGTATCGTGATACCTATTGTATCACCAGATTCTTGCCAATGCGATACTTGGAGTACAAACCTCCACCAAGGGCAGTGTTGTGCCATAACACTTTACTGTAAAAATATTACTTTCTAGCTCTCTGATTCTGAAGCAATTACAAACTATTTGAGCGGCGCCAAGCTAATCTAGAGGTACCCATGATTAAACATTAAATGGCTGGAAATGAGTATGCCATGTAGCAAAATGAGTATGCCATGGGCACTTTAACTATTTCCTCAAAGTAATGTAACTTATTACATTTGCATACCTTTCTAACAAAAAGCTGAAAATTTCTAAAAACAAATTTAAACTAGACAGTGTAAACATCTCAAAAGTATTCAACACTGATTACTGTCAAACTTTTATTAAAAGTTCTTATTTCTTAATTAATATTACTATAGAATATGTAACCTACTGGACAGGTACTGAGCCAAATATAGAGCTAAAGTATGTCTTCGTTACACATAACACAGTTGGGTGGGAGCTAATTATGTGATTAATTATGATTATATAACTTAGCTGCAGATGTTTTGTTAGGTTTGACATTAAGCATTTCAATGTTGGTGGCATTTTCACTACCATTAAATGAGCTTTAAACTATGCAGTAACATTAGAGTCCTTTTATGATTTCAGACAGAAATACTGTTGAATTTCCAGTACTGCAAGGTGTTCTGGTCCAATGACATCACCCACCTGTCTTGGTGTTGTTGGATGGTCGCAGCCAGGCACGACAGATTATGGCTGCTCATTGACTTGATTGACAGATGAAAGTCTAACAAGAGAACCGATCAATCAGTCGATCAATCAATCGAACAGTGCTCGAAATTTGAGTGCATACTGCCAAATGAGTGGAGCCCATCTGGACACATCCTACTGTTGATTGAGTTGCACTCAAATTTGTCCCAAACATAGACTGTACAGTACATAAAGATGGATGACCTAACAACTCCCAAAAGTGAAACCACCACAAGTGGCTAGTGGTGGCTAGCTGCAGCATAGGCCATAAATCCTGCCCCCTCTATGTCAGAGGATGGGACACGAGCCAGTCTAAAAACTCATAGTATAAATCATACATTTTTCCCAAAGGTAATTTCTGTCATTGTTGTCATGCTGATTGGTGTACAAGTGGTTATTTTTAAGTCTGGACATTTTTTCAGGTGACAAAGTAACCACATGTAGTTGGCCTATCCAAGTAATAACAATTTAGGAATCTGTTCTGTCGTGAGTGTTTATCTGACCAGTCTAGCTCTTAGCATGCACCTACATCTTGATCCAGAGAAGAAGAAGAAGATTTATATGTCATTGTAACATTGTGACACGTACAACGAAATTATGTTTGGAGCTGAGAGTCCCGGTCCGCTGCGTGTATATGCGCCGCCATCACAGGCAACGGGGGAGTTCAGTGTCTTGCCCATGGACACTTCGACATGTAGACTGCAGGCACCGAGATTGGAACCTTCAACCTTCTGGTTGGGAGGCGACTGCTCTACCCACTGCACCTCTGTCGCGTCTCAGTAGTCTGTCGGTGTGGACGCCGCTGTTCCAGCTGCATTTCCACTGTCGAAACCTAATGAGTGGTACACTTCTTGCTTCCCTTAACAGTCACCTCACATGACTTCATGGTTTGACGCGGACCATCCTACTTTGCTTCAGCTTATTTTTATCTTTGTTGTTCTACATTTAAAAGAGGGAGGGGCTACGCTCCTCTCACACACACAGCTGAGCAGTGGGAGAGAGTGAAGTATTCCCTATGTATATATACACACATATATGTACAGGTCTCTATTTACAAGTACTTTACTCTTATTTTTTATCTCTTTTTCCTAATGCACATTCCTTTGCTTGTTGATATGTACGTACACATTGAGAGCTGCTGTACCAGAGTCAAATTCCTCTTGTGTCCGACACACCTGGCCAATAAAGCTCATTCTGATTCTACTTGTTACTTTTTTAATACTCTTACTTTACTTATTACTTCCTGTTAAAAGTAACTCATTACTACTTGTAATATTACTTTTTCCGTTGCAGCCCACAGATTGGTAATTGTCCTTTCTCTTCAAAATGAGCCTCCTAGCTGTGAGAATGTCAGGGCAATTACCACTAAGCGCAGCTAAGATGTCAACCTAGCAGGGTTTTTTCCCTGAAGCTTATGAATGTATAAAAGTTACAGGCTAAGAAAAAACACCACTTATTTCCAGCTGCTGAACGCAGGCACTTCAATGGTTCCCCCAGAAAATGTTTTAGGCACGTCGGAAATAGGATGACAGAGGTTTTGAATGCATGTGCTAAAATGACTGATTATTTCTCACACAACACCAGACTTTTGGTAATTTCTATGTAAAGGTCATGTAAAACAAGGAGAGTATTAAAAAGATGCATTTATTGCACACAAATAACTGTCAAAGCCTCCAGTTACTTCACAATCAAAGTTAGAACAAATAATCTTTAAAAAAATAAAAAGATAAAATCCATATAATGAAATACAGTAGGTAAACAGCAGTATATGTGCCGATGAAAAGAAATATGTAACGCTCTAAACAAAGCATGTAATTGAGAAACCCCATATTTTAACTGGCATAACTTCTACAGCCTTACAATAATTCTCTCTAACCTTACAGGAACAACATATTAACAGACATGCAATGTGTGTGTGCGTGTGTGTGTGTGTGTGTGTGTGTGTGTGTGTTTTTTTTTACTTACCGTAAAGCCCCACATTACTCTCTTTCAAGTAGCTCCAAGGTTGATTAAATCCAAACGATGGTCGCTGTGTCTTCCCCCACATGACCACATACATTCCAAAAGTAATGAAATTAATTCCAACAGTTAGCGTAGCTCAGACAGTAACGTCATAGATTGTTAATCCTCATGTTAACCAGCAACACATTACATGTGGCAGACACACTGGCCTCAAACAGTCAAAACAAACAGGTACTGTGCTCCTGGGGAATCGAGCGTTGATGAGCTGATCACTAACTGCCTCTGGGGTTCCACTGCCCGGCTGCTTGTAGGTTAGACCCAGTCAGGTAAAAAACTGAGTCCCTGTACGTGAACATTCCCAGACATCCAGTAACCTCAGGCCTTGTATTTTTCTCCACATCCTCTGGTCACAGTGCAGCAGGAGGTAAAATGTATGCGCAAAACCAGACACAGTCGAAAAATTCTGCTTTGGATATCGATGGATACCGATGGATATCGTTTATTTATTTATTCATTCATAAGCTTTATTGAAAATACAAACAAAGCAATATAACATTTTGCCAGTATGGTGAGGCCACCAGTGGATATCAGGAAAGCTCACATGAATGCACGGAAGCCTGGATTTATTCCCATTCAAAGAAATCCTTAAAATATCACGTAATACTTTTTGTTAGAAAAAAAAGTCTCGCAAGCGAGAGTTTGGGAGACTTGTATAAACCCAGTTGCTTCTGCATAGAAATCCTAGAACATACGAACACCTCATTTTTTTTAGCTTTAGGTCACGTCTAAGATGATAATTCACTGCTGTAACATTGCAGATAAGTCAAAAAACAAGGAAAAGCATGTCATGGGCCCTTTTAAAATAGTAACATTACTTATTCCACTTTTAACAGGGTAACTAGAAATCTCTAATCTATTAGATTTCAAAACTAATCTTTCATCACTGGTTTTGCAGTACAGTATATGTGACCTGGCTGTAACACATTTTTACTTGACTTTACTTGCTTCCTCATTTTTTTTACATTCAAATTTCAATCAGAGTATTAAGGGTGGTGAATGAATGCATATAAAGAGCAGCAGTGTGTTTTGCTGACAGCGAGGAGTGCTTTTGTTTTTCTTAATTTGGCCTTCCCTCCACTGTTTGTATAATGTTACTACAGCGTCAAGCTTTCTGCACAGAGGTCTCTGAGTACTAATAGATAGTGAGGCTACTAAACCCCCAAAAGCTGATATATTTAGTTTTTATGGTACCCATCCCTCTTGGAAAACTTCCTAATTTTTCAAATCATGGGAAGTGTCCTAGAAACACAGTTAATGTGAAGCATACTTATTATCAGGTTTCTATAGTACATAAACTGTCAAACAGTGACAAGCCTAACTGATTAGGGTTTTTTTCTCTAGTTTTCATGCAACACTTTGCAGTTGAGGTGAATTGCTATTTGTGAAATGAATAATTGTTTCTGAAGAATAAACTTTTTTTATTTACATCCAGTCTTATATTTGTTTTCCTTTAACTGTAAATGAAGTTTAAAATGTTGAATAGGCTGTCAGAATAGAGAATTCAAATGCCAATATGGAATGTTATCTTCCCTAATGTGGAATCAGTCTGTGAATGTGACACTGTTTTACAACTAGATATCAGTTTGCCACCTCTCTTAAGTATTTGCCATATCTGGCAATGTACAACTATGACCAACTGTTTTTGTTTTTTAAAAAGGTTTCAACATTATGGCTGCTGATTATTGAAGACAAGATAATTTTAGCCAATCAAAGAAAACAGTTAGCCAAAGCCAGCTTCAGTTTAGCCATCCTATTATCCAGCATCCTATTATTATTGTCCTATTATCTATGCAGTCTTTTATCCTGGAGTAAGGAAACTTCCATACTAACAGCAAAAATCATGTTACTACAGGGTACAAGTAGAAGTAAAAAAAACATGCACCTGCCAAGAAACATGAAGCCCTTTTGGGGCATGTGTACTCTGAACAAATAATTTCTCTTAATAATCAAATATTTCTGTTGGAGTGACAGCACAGCTCACTGCATCAACATATTAGTCTCATTGAAATGAATGATGAAGCCTGTGTTTTAGCTGTGCTGCTATTTTCAGTCTGACAAGGTTCTAATAATCATCCAAACAATACCGTACCTCACACCCATCAAAACACCTGCACACTCATACTGCCAACAAACATCTCTTCTACTTCCTCTTCCTTCAGTTAACCTTCCCTAAAGCTAAACTCCTGCTGATGTCCAGTAACCAGGAGGATCTGAATGACTGGTACCAAAGCCTGACCTCAGCTATCAGGTATGTACCTGCTACACACACACCCACACACCCACACACACACACACACACACACACACACACACACACATATTGATACACAGTTTGAGAATCCAGCTCTTCATGGGATCTGCTTTCACAGAAAAGATAGCTTTAACTGCTTTCAGGTGGCATAACACACTCACGTAGCAGGTCCTTAACTCAGGCAGCCTCACCCTTGGAACACTTCATACATTTTTAAAAAATCAACTGTTTACCTTCTCCTTCCATTTTCACCTTAGATTTTTTTTTTTATTTTAAGAATACACTGTGTTCACACTTTATAACAGCAGCACATTGCTACACTTTGTTTTATACTGTATGTAGTAGTGTCAGTATGTGGAATGTATCCTGCTCTCTTTTTAAGGCTTGTTCTGAATCAAGTATTCAGACTCATGATGCCATGTATTTTGTCTGCACCCTTTTATAAAATTGTAATGTTCTAGATGTCTTTTATTTTATACCGTATAAATATTAAATTTAACCTGATATAGAGTGTTTGGTATCTTAACAGTTCACAAAGACATTTGTAATCGTTTAACAAGGTGGAGTAACTTCATAATTTATAGAATATTTTACTGTCCCCTTAAATAACTGTGATTTTAACATGGTTTCTGATTAATGAAAAATATTTTTACATAAAAATACATACTGTACATAAAAATAAATGCATATAGCAATTTGTATTGTATATCACTTTCTTTCTTTCAGCAGCAAAGCCATCCACCCAGCGCTATGTTGTGGTTTACTGATGTGTTTCGCATTGTTGTTGGACAACAATTGATCTTTAAGACTCAGAGGAATAAATATACATATATATCAGACTTGATGCACATACAGTACCTGTTGGTTTAGTGTGGAGCTGCAGATTGGATTAATTTTTTTCCTTTACAATGC